GGCCGTGGTGAAGTGTGTGCGCATGCCGGCCGTCACCTGGTTTAGTTCGTTTGAGGAATCGTTGGGGTATAATTGGGCGGCGGATTCTCGCTTGGCCCTGACGGGAGACATCTGTGCAGTCGCACCTCCACAGATCTCCAGTATCAGCTCTTGATACTGGTAATGGCTCAAAAGGGCCACCACTTACGGACTATTCATGCCCGTGCCAATTTTTGGGGCTTAATCTTCATCAATCGATCAATCAATCGCTCGGCCCCAGTTACAGCCCCGCTCCTGTGCCGGGTAAGTCCCCTACGGGCTCACCATAGCCCGTGCTACCTGGAACTTTTTGATCCCAGTAGCTGAATCTTAAACAACAACATCTCGCTCGGCGGTGGTGGGGATGCTGTCTTCTTAAGAAGGTCTTGAGGCTTTGTCAGCAGCCGATTATCGGGAAGTGTAAGGTTGTTTGGGTCTAAGGTCTGGTCTAAGGTCTGGTCTAAGGTCTGGTCTAAGGTCTGGTCTAAGGTCTGGTATTTAGCCCTTTGTTTCCCCGTTGAGCCGAGCCCGGGCGCTGGTTATGGGGGAAGTTGTATTTAATTTATTAAATTGTATTTATTAAATTACTATACTATTACTATAAATTATTTATTAAATAATTTATTAAATTTTGTATTTATTATTTATTAAACTTATGACTTGTTGTGTATTGTTATGTTTCTTGTATTTGTAGGTAGTGACGACCTTCGTTTGTCGAGGTCCCTTGTGTGTGTACTGACCTAGTTGTGCTTGCGGGGGTTGAGCTCTGGCTCTTTGGTCCCGCCTCTCAACTGTCAATCAACTGGTGTACAGATTCCTGAATGTTATTAGTTATGAATGTGTGTATGTTATTTCTTGAGATGTATTCTGTCGTGTGGTGTAGGTGATAGGGAGCCGGTCGGCCGAGCGGACAGTACGCTGGACTTGTGATCCTGTGGTCCCGGGTTCGATCCCGGGCGCCGGCGAGAAACAATGGGCAAAGTTTCTTTCACCCTATGCCCCTGTTACCTAGCAGTAAAATAGGTACCTGGGTGTTAGTCAGCTGTCACGGGCTGCTTCTTGGGGGTGGAGGCCTGCTCGAGGACCGGGCCGCGGGGACACTAAAGCCCCGAAATCATCTCAAGATAACGTCAAGATAACCTCAAGGTGTTCTGTGGTTTACGTCCCTGCTCTTATGTTCCATTTGTTTGGATTAGGCGTAACATTTGTGGCGTGTTTGTACACTGTTCCCTGGGCCGAGTGTTTTTCTCCTTGCATTGTGAATTGGATTGGTTTCACGCTGTGTTTCATGTGGTGTTTGTGTACACGTGTGTTGCTCCGGTAACTTTGATTTTATTTGTATTTATGGACTGTTTTATTATATAATAAAGAACAAACATTTTTATTGGTGACTTGTGTTGTTATTGGCTAGCTGCAAAAATCGACATATAAGACTAGACTCCTGTAGATAGTTAATTTACGCATGTTAGAAATAGAACTTGTCCCAGCAGCGATCCTTGAGGTACTCCACTCGTTACTGTTCGCCAGTTATGTGTACTCTGGCTCCTGCCTGTTAGGTAACTCCTTACCCATGTTAGGGCTTGTGTGTGTGCGTGTGCGTGCGTGCGTGTATTTACGGGTGTGAGAGTGCATGGATGTGAGAGTACTAGTGTGTGTGTCAAAGAGAGTGAGAAGGGTTAGGAATAGAGGGAAGAGTGAAGGTGGAATTACTGGAGTTGGTCAGTGTGAAGTGTAGGTGTTTAACAACTGAACGAGAATTTTGGAAATACAGAAATGAAGCTTAGTTGACATTTTACAACTATATATAGCATCTCGTGCTGCTTTTCCCTACCTTTGGATATTTCTGTGTTGCTTGCCTGTACCGTCTAAGGTGAGCGAGGGAGCTTGGCGCTGGATCGCGCGTGTGTGCCCATAAATGGTGAGTTTCCAGGTTTTCTGTGAGAGATTGTCACCACCATTTTCTGTTAGCCACAGAGACCTCTCTGGGTTGTGAATGGAGGGACCGGGAGAGAGGAGGAAAGTGAGGGGATTGATTCACATATTCTGTCTACAAACGCACGCACGCGCAAACACACACACACACACACACACACACACACACACACACACACACACACACACACACACACACACACACACGCACGCACGCACGCACACACACACACACACACACACACACACACACACAAGGATTATGAAATGAAATATGAAATTATAACTAAATAAGCATTTTTAATTGTAATAGTTGAATGTTATTGTTGACGGTATTTAATTTGTAAATACATATTAATGAATAAGCAATTAAGGGACATTTGTGGTGAAAGACCGGGGGGCTTAATTGGTGTGCAAATAGGGCTTAATTGATGTGTAAATAGGGGCCATTAAGATTTCTCCCCCAGTACATATATTGAGTATACCATATATACTATAGTTCCCCATGAGAGCAGGGTTTTCTTAGGCTAGCAGACGTATCGTACCCAGCAGGCGTACCGTGTCCAGCAGACGTACCGTGCCCAGCAGACGTATCGTACCCAGCAGGCGTACCGTGTCCAGCAGACGTACCGTGCCCAGCAGGCGTACCGTGCCCAGCAGGCGTACCGTACCCAGCAGACGTAGCGTGCCCAGCAGGCGTACCGTACCCAGCAGACGTACCGTACCCAGCAGGCGTACACTCCGCTGGTACGTGCAGGGACACGCAAGGAGCCTTGAACTTATGTGATCCTGTTGGAGAGATGCGGCTGGAGGAGTCATGGGCGTGGCTACTCTCCTGACGTTGTCATGGTGACCGTCACCAAGCAACCCAGCTTCCCGGGGCGTCGCCATGGTTACAGTCGCCAGGCAACCTAGCCACCCCATAGCGTTGCCATGGTGATCGTCACTAAGTAACCCAGCCTCCCCCAGAAGCGTCGATGGCTTCTCTTGGGACTTCCTGGGCGTTGTGTGAAGTCCCAAGAGAAGCCATCACCTCACTCGGCTTTCACACCGGCGGGGTACAGACGCTCCGAAGCGGGTTACGATGTCACAACTCATTGTCCGCGGCGACATCTTGCGCGGGTTTTCTTCCTATTGGGGAGTGTTGTACATGCTGCTATGGCGGTGTGTCCACTCACAAGATGAGTGGCGCTGCCCAATAAACTCGCCCCTCGGAGCAAAATTTAAATTTAATCCTGCGCGTGCGCATATGTATAAAGAATTTTGTAATTTGCGTTTATACCCTGGAGCGTTTGTATACAGATGCGGGAATAACCGTGTGGCTGCATATTAATGCACCACTTTTAAAGGGGCATTAGTGCATGGGAATGGTACAGATAATGCTGCAATAAATTTGCGCCGCTCCTTTGTTCAAACACCAGAGAAAATGGGTAAACAAGGTACGAAGAAAACGTACGAGGTCAGACTTAGGGGTGACTTAGCTCATCTCTCTTGATGCTCGTCTGGATGAACAAATGTCTGCCTCAGCCCTCTTAGTCTTAAGGGCGATAGAGACCATTCCACCCTCCACATCCTGCACCTCTCCATCTTCCTCCTCCTCCTCCTTCACCCCCGTCTTCCATCTGTCTAGCTCCGTCCAGCGTAATTTCAACCCGCTGCTAATTCTACCTCCTACTGTATCCTTTTTTATCTCTTTGCCCTGGCTTTCTCCGTCTTTCCCTTTCCCCATCCCTTCCTTTCCTCTCCATCCTCATCTTCCACATGTTTCCTCCATCACCTCGAATTATTCTCTCCTTTCCCCTGCCTCTTGTCACTTCCTCGCAGCCACCTTGGTTAGGGAGATGTCTCGATGCAATAAAGCTGATTCAATAATATAGTAAAAATAATATTTAATGTCTCTGTCTCTCTCTCTCTCTCTCTCTCTCTCTCTCTCTCTCTCTCTCTCTCTCTCTCTCTCTCTCTCTCTCTCTCTCTCTCTCTCTCTCTCTCTCTCTCTCTCTCTCTCTCTCTCTGTCTGTCTCTCTCTCTCTCTCCTCTCTCTCTCTCTCTCTCTCTCTCTGGTCTTTCTCTGGTCTCTTGCCTCTCTCTGGTCTCCTCTCTCTCCTCTCCCGCTCTCTCTCTCTCCCTCTCTCTCTCTCTCCCTCTGTCCTCTCTCTCTCTCTCTCCTCTCTCTCTCATCGCTCTCTCTCTCTCTCTCTCTCTCATCCTCTCTCTTGTCTCTCTCTCCCTCTCTCTCTCTGTCTCCTCCTCTCTCTCCTCTCTCTCTCTCTCTCTCTCTCTCTCTCTGTCTGTCTCTCTCTCCTCTCTTCTCTCTCTCTCCTCTCTCTCTCTCTCTCTCTCTCTCTCTCTCTCTCCTCTCTCTCCTCTCCCGCTCTTCTCTCTCTTCCTGGGCCTCTCTCCTCTGTCTCCCTCTCCTCTCTCTCTCTCCCTCTCTCGTCCATCCTCGCTCTCGTCCTCTCCCCTCTTCCTCTCCTCTCCTCCCTCCCCTGTCCCCTCTCCTCTCTCCCTCTCTCTTCGTCTCTCTTCTCTCCTAACCCCTCCTCTCCCCTCTCTCTTCCTTCTAGGTCTCTGTCTCCTCTGTCTCCTCTCTCCTCCTCCCCTCCTCTCAAATGTCTCTTCTCTCTCCTCTCTCCTCCTCGCCTCTCTCATCTCTCTCTCCTCCTCCCTCTGTCTCTCTCTCCCTCGTCTGTCTCTCTCTCTCTCTCTCTCTCTAAGGGAGAACTTTTCACTTATACTGCTATTAGCGAAGTTTAATCCTCTCATAAGTGTACTAATGTTTCGATACACTTAAATTCTTCTTGAAAGTTTAGCTTTTTATTTCAGTCTGTACTAGAGAACCATGCTTGGGAGTGGGTGGGTGTGGCCTGGGAGTGGGTGGGTGTTGCCTGGGCGTGGGTGGGTGTTGCCTGCTGGGAGTGGGTGGGTGTTGCTTGGGAGTGGGTGGGTGTTGCCTGAGCGTGGGTGGGAATGACTAGGAACTAGGTTAGCACTTAAGGAGACCCCCAAGAGTGGCGACCATGTTGCTGAGTGGTTGTGTGTGTGTGTTCCAGAGGGCGGCGGAGGGAGCGAGTACCCGTATCTGAGGGAGATGAAGGAGCGCCTCCTGCTGTCCCGCGACCCGCCCCTAGCCAGCATGGACGAGTCCTCCCCGCACGACGCCACCGACAACCAGCTCCTGGAGGTGCACCAGACCCCCGTCGGCACCGTCGTCAAGGTTAGTAACCTCCGCTCCTCCAGGAGCCACTTACGAAACCTGTGCATCTTTTCTCAGTCATGGTGGTCTCTGTGTGTGTTTATTAACGTGTTTATGAGCTCTGAAGCACTACGACTGTCGGCTGGTTGGTATACACAAAGCCGCCATGATTGGTGAATGATGTAGAGGTTTCGTAAGGGGTTGGGTAAAGGCTTGGTGAGGCCTGACCCTGAGAGTTCTGTGTATGACGGGGATACCCTCACTCTTTTTGTCCTTGTTTCTTCTCCAAGGTTTGGGATGTGATGGTGGTACAGTGGGCTGTAGTCTTCACTGTAGCCTGTACTCATGACAGCATGTACAACAGTCCTATACTCACTACAGCATCATGTACCCATCACATGAACGTATCTCAACAGCCTGTACTCATCACAACATCCTGCCTCATCACATCACAGCATCCTTCTACTCATCAAAACAGCTTGTACTCACCACAGCAACCTGTATTCATCACTACATCCTGTACAAGAAAAATGACAGGTTGGATAACATGAACCTTTCAAACCACAGACGTCATACCGATGATACTTTCCAAGACAGTAGTGCTCTCTAGAGTGGCATCCCGCCAAACACACACCGAAACTACGACGTTGGTACAACGTTCGAACAAGTTTTAACACCACCTAACCAGCTATAACAATCAATATAGCAAGTTGTAACAACGTTCTAATACGTCATAAACACGTTAAGCCAAGATGTAACAACTTTATTACAAGTTGTAACAAGCGGAAAATAGAGACAGTTTTTCGGTTTGTGTTTCCAGGGATATTATTGCGCACTAACAGCCCCCAATCACAGCTGGTGAAAGTGCTGACCTGGAGAACGTGCAATGATCTTTTACCGCCCGAATCCACTCAATAAAACATCTAAATTATTGGGAAATCTTAACAATTTGAAACCTGTATTCTCTTGAGTGCAGGGGAGACACACATAATAATTTACACTTGGAATATATTAGAGGGTCCAACAAACCATTTGTTGGACCATTTGGTCCAACAAATGGTTGTTAGAGTTTAACCCAAGCAGATGTAATGTAATGAAGATAGATGTAGGGAGCAGGAGGCCAGATACAAGGTATTTGGGAGATGAAATTCTTCAAGAATCAGAAAGAGAGAGAAATACCTGGGGGTTGATATCACGCCAGACCTGTCCCGGTTCCATAGGTGAACACGGAAATTACTCCACATGAGACCAGGAGGCATGACAGGAAGTGCAAAAATAGCTCCGTTGAAAAGAAGAGGTGCAATTAAGTACTATGAACTCTATGAAGAGCACAAGAGTCTTCAACACTCCCGCTACACATAAGAGGCATAACTGGCCGGCCTCTCACCGTCTTCAAAAGAGAAATTGATAAACATCTACAAAGAACTCCTGATCCACCAGGCTGTGATTCATTAGTCAGGCTGCGAGCAGCAGAGTACAGCAGCGTAGTTGATGAGACCACCAACCATGAGGCCTGCTCAGAGACCGGGCCGGGGCGACGTTGATCCCAGGAATCAACAGTTAGGTAGCAACCTGTACTCATGTAGTGTACCTTATACTGCGTGGGGAAAGCGAACCTTGATATTACAAGGTACCTGTAGTATTATTTAGATACATATGTAATACATGTTTGTATAACAAATTTCTTGTAGTCTCCCCTCATATGTCATTTTCTCTAATGTTTCCACTGAACGTTTTCTATATCAAGTGAGGGCAATGCATGTGACACTTCTCTGGTCCCCTCTTGCTCAGTACTTGCTTTCCCCTCTTAATAAACAGTTCCCCTTCCGGCCTCTTCCTGAACACCTCTACCGGTCCCAACACTACTCCCTCTTGTGTATCACTAAACTAAAAGAGCTGAGCTATAGGGAGCTCGCAAATCTGAATGAGAAAAGAAGCAGAGGGGATATGATCGTAACATTCAAGATACTGAAGAGGAATTGACAAGGTGGATAAGGACAGCCTCTTTAAAGTGAGAGAAGGTAGAACGAGAAGGCATAAGTGGAAGCTGGAAACGCAAACGAGTCGAAGAAATTACAAGGAAATACTTGTACCCTGTACTGGTGGTCAACAGGTGGGAGGCACTGAAGGAACAAGTTGTGGAAGCCACCTCCGTCCACAAGTTTATGGCTACACAGGAGCCGGTCGGCCGAGCAGACAGCACACGGGACTTGTGATCCTGTGGTCCTGGGTTCGATCCCAGGCGCCGGCGAGAAACAATGGGCAAAGTTTCTTTCACCCTATGCCCCTGTTACCTAGCAGTAAAATAGGTACCTGGGTGTTAGTCAGCTGTCACGGGCTGCTTCCTGGGGGTGGAGGCCTGGTCGAGGACCGGGCCGCGGGGACACTAAAAGCCCCGAAATCATCTCAAGATAACCTCAAGATATACACTTGACAGAGAACTGGAACGTCAGAATAGTTAAATAATAACGCAGCAAGTACAACAAGGCTGGTATAGAGCTTGGTCTTGTAGTCACTGATAGGTTCCTTTCCCCCCCTCCCCTCCCCCACCCCCTCCCCCACCCCCTCCCCCACCCCCCTCCCTGGTATAGAGCTTGGTCTTGTAGTCACTGATAGGTTCCTTTCCCCCCCTCCCCTCCCCCCCACCCCCTCCCCCACCCCCTCCCCCACCCCCCTCCCTGGTATAGAGCTTGGTCTTGTAGTCACTGATAGGTTCCTTTCCCCCCTCCCCTCCCCCACCCCCTCCCCCACCCCCTCCCCCACCCCCCTCCCTGGTATAGAGCTTGGTCTTGTAGTCACTGATAGGTTCCTTTCCCCCCTCCCCTCCCCCACCCCCTCCCCCACCCCCTCCCCCACCCCCCTCCCTGGTATAGAGCTTGGTCTTGTAGTCACTGATAGGTTCCTTTCCCCCCTCCCCTCCCCCACCCCCCCCTCCCCCACCCCCTCCCCCACCCCCCTCCCTGGTATAGAGCTTGGTCTTGTAGTCACTGATAGGTTCCTTTCCCCCCTCCCCTCCCCCACCCCCTCCCCCACCCCCTCCCCCACCCCCCTCCCTGGTATAGAGCTTGGTCTTGTAGTCACTGATAGGTTCCTTTCCCCCCTCCCCTCCCCCATCCCCCTCCCCACCCCCTCCCCCACCCCCCTCCCTGGTATAGAGCTTGGTCTTGTAGTCACTGATAGGTTCCTTTCCCCCCTCCCCTCCCCCACCCCCTCCCCCACCCCCTCCCCCACCCCCTCCCCCACCCCCCTCCCTGGTATAGAGCTTGGTCTTGTAGTCACTGATAGGTTCCTTTCCCCCCTCCCCTCCCCCACCCCCTCCCCCACCCCCTCCCCCACCCCCCTCCCTGGTATAGAGCTTGGTCTTGTAGTCACTGATAGGTTCCTTTCCCCCCTCCCCCCCCCCCCTCCCCCACCCCCCACCCCCACCCAACCCCCTCCTCACCTCTTCCCCTCAACTCTTAAAACTTGAAATGTTATGGTTTTTGTTTTGTTTTTATTTCATATAACTCGGAGGTTGATGGTCGGCCATCTGCACCTTGGGGGGGGGAGGTGAGGGGAGAAGAGAGAGTAGGTGAAGGGAAGAAGAGAGGGCAGGTGAAGGGAAGAAGAGAGGGCAGGTGAGGGGAGAAGAGAGGGCAGGTGAGGGGAGAAGAGAGGGCAGGTGAGGGAAGAAGAGAGGGCAGGTGAGGGGAGAAGAGAGGGCAGGTGAGGGAAGAAGAGAGGGCAGGTCAGGGAAGAAGAGAGGGCAGGTGAGAGGAGAAGAGAGGGCAGGTGAGAGGAGAAGAGATGACAGGTGAGGGGAGAAGAGATGACAGGTGAGGGGAGAAGAGAGGGTAGGTGAGGGGAAGAAGAGAGGGCAGGTGAGGGGAAGAAGAGAGGGCAAATGAGGGAAGAAGAGAGGGCAGGTGAGAGGAGAAGAGAGGGCAGGTGAGGGGAGAAGAGGGCAGGTGAGGGGAGAAGAGAGGGCAGGTGAGGAAAGAAGAGAGGGCAGGTGAGGGAAGAAGAGAGGGTAGGTGAGGGGAAGAAGAGAGGGCAGGTGAGGGAAGAAGAGAGGGCAGATGAGGGAGAAGAGAGGGCAGGTGAGGGAAGAAGAGAGGGTAGGTGAGGGGAAGAAGAGAGGTCAGGTGAGGGGAAAAGAGAGGGCAAATGAGGGGAGGACACATGGAAAGCGAGAGATAAAGAACCTGGTGATGGATAAAGGCTTTAAGAGAGCGCGGAGAAGAATAAGGGGAGACTGCGTAATGGGATGTGAGGGGGGAGAAGTGTGGAGAGGGGAAGAGAAGAGAGGAGAGAGGGGGAATATAAGGGGAGTGGAGGAAGCTGAAGGATAACTAAGGGGTGAGGTGGGGGAGGGGAGAGCAGTGGTGATCCACAACATTATGTAAAAAAATCATAAAGAGCAGAGAAAAGGTGGGTTAGAGCAAGTTAGAAAAGTGAGAGGGATCGTGAGAGAGAAGGTGGAGGGGGGGGGGCGTGAGCTGGGGAGAGAGAGGGGGGGGGTAGGGTGGGGACGGGTTCCCCATCGTTGGTGGGGAAGGAATGGTGTAATATTTACATATTTCCAGTGGTTTGATCCTCTGCACATGCTCCATATGGCAGGGTCAGTGTTACCTAACATGCACCTGTGCCAGGTGAGAGAGTGAGTGAGAGAGAAAGAGAGTGAGTGAGTGAGTGAGTGAGTGAGTGAGTGAGTGCAGGTAAATTTTAAGACGATAAATAAACGTAAAATTAGATTTTTGCTGCTGAAACTCTGTTAAGTTTGACAATTTTGGGTGTTATAGTGAAGGGTGTGGAGGTGGCCTCAAAGATGGTGATGGTGGATTGTGTCATGTGACTGTTGGGTCGTGTACACGTCGGCGACCTCCCCGACTTTCCCGACCACCTTCCCGACCACCCCGACCTACCCGACCTCCCCGACCACCTCCCCGACCCTACGGCCGTCTTATTTTGTCTTATGGACCATCCAACCAAAACTCTAAACCGACCTCGAAGGTTAAATGAAGATTAGTGTTTATTCAGTATCAGTGGACTTTATTTGAGATATATACAGGAGTTGTTACATTCTTGTACAGCCACTAGTACGCGTAGCGTTTCGGGCAGGTCCCTGGAATACGATCCCCTGCCGCGAAGAATCGTTGTTACAACCAAGTACACATTTTAATGTTGAGTTAAACAGAGGCTACAGTTAAGGATTTGCGCCCAGTAAATCCTCCCCGGCCAGGATACGAACCCATGACATGGCGCTCGCGGAACGCCAGGCGAGTGTCTTACCAGTATACTACGCAGACTGGTAAATCATGCCTTGTTATCATGCTACTTGATAAATTGTTAAGCAATCTTTGTGTGTGTGTGTGTGTGTGTGTGTGTGTGTGTGTGTGTGTGTGTGTGTGTGTGTGTGTGTGTGTGTGCTCTCGCTAACAAGCAACTGTTGTTGTTACAGCTGAACGCAGACGGGTACGGGTCTCACACGTCGCCCACTCACCGCGTGGAGAGTTACTACACGGGCACCCTGGAGTCCCGCCGCGGCCTGCTCGAGTACTACCCCAAGAATGCTAAGTAAGTACACATTCTCGTTTGAGTTACCTCAACCACTTGGGCTGGACGGTAGGGCGACGGTCTCGCTTCTTGCTGGTCGGCGTTCAAAACCCCGACCGTCCAAGTGGTTGGGCACTATTTCTCCTCCCCTCCCCCCCTCTCTCTCTCACACAGGTCAACAGCACAGATTTCCTGTTTCGGAATTTTAGTGGCTTTTATCATCAATGGCTTTCTTGTGGAGTGTTTTAAATTCCCCTCAGGCAGGTCTGGAGTGAAGAGGATTAAGTCATATAATAATTATGACGAGACGCATTCCATTGATATAGCCCTGATATAGCTCCCATTGAAGGGAGCTGGTCGGCCGAGGGGAAAGCACGCTGGACTTGTGATCCTGTGGTCCTGGGTTCAATCTCAGCCGCTGGCGAGACACAATGGGCAGAGTTTCTTTCACCCTATGCCCCTGTTACCTAGCAGTAAAATAGGTACCTGGGTGTTAGTCAGCTGTCACGGGTTGCTTCCTGGGGGTGGAGGCCTGGTCGAGGACCAGGCCGCGGGGACATTAAAAAAAAAAAGCCCCGAAATCATCTCAAGAGAGCCCTGAATACTGTCGGCGCGATGTGAGTTTCCGCGAGTATACCCTACTTCCTGATATTCCGTTTTCTATGGACGACCAATATTCCCGTTTATCTTACGATCCAATAAAGATTAGTTTTTCCCATGTGTGCTTAACAATCCCTTATTCAGTAGTTCGCGTCCTAAATAATATATAACAAGGCTGTTCTCTGATTCTCTGCACAGGATATATGTATTTATTTGGAGGTCAACTCACTCAGTAGATTGACCTCGTATATTTTTTGAGTGTGTTTGGTCTAGTTCTATTTGGTTATAAACATTTACGTATGTCTTTTCTTTTTATTATGCCATTCGTCGCAGCCCTAAATAATGGTGCTCATACTGATAAGTTAATAATAATTTCGTCTCTGCTTGCCGCCCATTATGAGTTACCCCTAGAACCTCAGTAGTTAAGTGACCGGTTTTCTATGGATGTCATGGCTGCCACCCTCTCTCTCGCCGCTCAACTTGGCCTCTTTCATAGAACGTCGCATTTCGCTCGTACGCGTTACGTGAAGCCAAAAATTGTCGTACTAGAAAAATGGGAGCGGCTGGCGAAAGTGACGTACAGTCCCGTTTTCTGTTTTGGGTCCTCTGGTAGGTTAGGATAGGACACTTTAAATTGACCGTTTTTTTGACGTTGAGAAACCTTAAGAAGACGGGCTGTTGACGACCTTGATAGGTTGACAACACTTCAACTTGAGCTTCTTGACGAGGGTGGGGGGTAGCGTGCAGGGTGAGAGGTAGAGTGAAGGTGCCAGAGAGGGTGGAGGTTGTCGCCAACCCAGAGGACCCGCCTGTGTTAAAGCTGCCTTGGGAACCTGCCCCGTCGCTTTGTTGCTACTCTCTTCCCTCCCTCCTCCCTGCTGTCCTGCCCTCCCCTCCCCTCCCCAGCTGTCCTGCCCTCCCCTCCCCTCCCCAGCTGTCCTGCCCTCCCCTCCCCTCCCCAGCTGTCCTGCCCTCCCCTCCCCTCCCCAGCTGTCCTGCCCTCTCCTCCCCTCCCCTGCTGTCCTGCCCTCCCTCCCCCTACCCAGCTGTCCTGCCCTCCCCTGCTGTCCTGCCCTCCCCTCCCCTCCCCTGCTGTCCTGCCCTCCCCTGCTGTCCTGCCCTCTCCTCCCCTCCCCTGCTGTCCTGCCCTCCCTCCCCCTACCCAGCTGTCCTGCCCTCCCCTGCTGTCCTGCCCTCCCCTCCCCTCCCCTGCTGTCCTGCCCTCCCCTGCTGTCCTGCCCTCCCCTGCTGTCCTGCCCTCCCCTCCCCTCCCCAGCTGTCCTGCCCTCTCCTGCTGTCCTGTTATACCCTGCTCTCCCCGGCTTCACGGTACCCAGCCTACCGCTGCCCCAGTATACCCTGCCCTCCCCTGCCTCATTATATCCCTTGTCCCAGCTCCTCCCTTCCTCATTTCTTCATTATCAACAAGTACTCACCTAGTTTTACTTGCGGGGATTGAGCTCTGGCTTGTTGGTTCCGCCTCTCAACCGTCAATCAACTGGTGTACAGATTCCTGAGCCTACTGGGCTCTATCATATCTAAATTTGAAACTGTGTATGGAGTCAGCCTCCACCACATCACTGCCTAATGCATTCCATCCGTTAACTACTCTGACACTGAAAAGTTCTTTCTAACGTCTCTGGCTCATTTGGGTACACAGTCTCCACCTGTGTCCCCTTGTTCGCGTACCACTCGTATTCAAGAGGTGTACAACACTTCATGATCTGTATATGCTAATTCTACTGTAATTCTGGATAATCCTCAGGACCAGAGTATACTTGCTGGGTGGTTAGTAAGGCCTTGAGGTGACCTTAACAACCCTCCTGATGTTGATAGACCTTAAGCCAGACACTAATCCAGCGCTTGATTAGCCAGTGCTGGACCAATCAGCGAGTGTGTCTCCTTAAAGGGTCTTCATTGGCCAGAAACAACGGTTCGACAATTGTCTGGATATAACAGTAACAGGCTGAATACATCAACCGCTCGGTGAGTGTTCACTTGTAACGATCGTTTCGTTATATCATTGCAAAGGTACACTTTCGGGTTAGCTTAAGTTGAGTTAGTTTATTGAGCTCTGTCTAGTGGTAGAGAGGCGGGGCACGTCTGGCAGCACTGCCGGAGAGGCTGCATAGTATCGTACGTCAGTGTTGCCGCCGTGTCATGGAGAATCTAGCAACGATTTATTCACAATGTGTGAATAACACAAAGGTACACAATGTAAAAAAAAACACATACTCTGGAGCATAAATGAAGAAAAGCAGGTCTATCAAAATATATTCAAAGAGGGGAAGAGTATCTATAGATAGTGCTGGCGAAGCTAGAGGTTTAGTCCCCCCTGGAAATCACACGACAGACAAGGAGAATGGATCATATATGGTAACATTACACAAAGGTAATATAGGGGGGATATAGTCACACGGGAACCAGACAAGGTGAAGAATATAGCCAGGAGCGAGGCCCTAATATCGAGCAAGATAATCGTGACCAATATGGCAAGGGTGTGTGAGGGAGGTGCCAGCACCAGACGGCAGAGTGCCATGCTCTGTTACACTGGTGCATCAGTCACCACAAAGAATGTAAATTCCCACAACATAATTTTATCCCCAACTTCGTTAAAAAGAAATATGATATATAATTCCCAGTCTACTCGTCCGGATCAAGAGGAAAAATAGCGGCTGTTACAGACTGATGTTCCTTATAGCTCAGGGAACGTGGATTGTTCCTTATAGCTCAGGGAACGTGGATTGTTCCTTATAACTCAGGAAACGTGGATTGTTCCTTATAACTCAGAAAACGTGGATTGTTCCTTATAACTCAGGAAACGTGGATTGTTCCTTATAACTCAGGAAACGTGGATTGTTCCTTATAGCTCAGGGAACGTGGATTGTTCCTTATAGCTCAGGGAACGTGGATTGTTCCTTATAGCTCAGGGAACGTGGATTGTTCCTTATAACTCAGGGAACGTAGATTGTTCCTTATAGCTCAGGGAACGTGGATTGTTCCTTATAGCTCAGGAAACGTGGATTGTTCCTTATAGCTCAGGGAACGTGGATTGTTCCTTATAGCTCAGGGAACGTGGATTGGAGATGAAGTTCGCGGTTCACTCTGGAGAACCGGCCCGTGTCAGAGTACACATAATCTTGGCCAAATAGGTCTATTGAATCGGAGAAAAGTAATGTGAAGTCTGTAATGAGTTACCCGAGCCGGACGCATCCATGTCAGTAACGATCTAACTTTAACCAATCGCCAACCATCTGCATGCGAGGTCGCTGCTGATTGGTCAAAGCTAAACGAAAAGTCCGGGTTTGCGGATATGAAGCTTGGCGATTGGCCAGAGGTGAACAAATCAGAGTTTTAGAGCGTCAAGGTCAGTGAAAGACGACCCGGGTATGACCTGTTCCATCAGTGAAAGACGACCCGTGTATGACCTGTTCCATCAGTGAAAGACGACCCGGGTATGACCTGTTCCATCAGTGAAAGACGACCCGTGTATGACCTGTTCCATCAGTGAAAGACGACCCGGGTATGACCTGTTCCATCAGTGAAAGACGACCCGTGTATGACCTGTTCCATCAGTGAAAGACGACCCGTGTATGACCTGTTCCATCAGTGAAGGACGACCCGTGTATGACCTGTTCCATCAGTGAAAGACGATCCGTGTATGACCTGTTCCATCAGTGAAAGACGACCCGTGTATGACCTGTTCCATCAGTGAAAGACGACCCGTGTATGACCTGTTCCATCAGTGAAAGACGACCCGTGTATGACCTGTTCCATCAGTGAAAGACGACCCGTGTATGACCTGTTCCATCAGTGAAAGACGACCCGTGTATGACCTGTTCCATCAGTGAAGGACGACCCGTGTATGACCTTTCCATTAGTGAAAGACGACCCGGGTATGACCTGTTCCAGCAGTGAAGGACGACCCGTGTATGACCTGTTCCATCAGTGAAGACCGTCGGGCCCTGGTCCCAGGCCAGACTCCGGGAGTAGAAGAACTCATGAAACCCTCTACAGGTACGTTCCAGGTATAAGCACCACCTGGACCCCTCCAACAAACTGCCACCATTGTGCCTACGTCTCCAACGAGGTCATTGTCGTCTTGCACTCATTGCTGTCTTGTGATAGTTTGTGTTCGATTGGTTGTTTGAGGCCTTTACTGAAATGGGTAGTTGGGGGGGGAGGGGGGTGTGGTATATAGTAGTGATGGGGGGAGCCTGGGTGATGGGAGGAGCCTGGGTGATGGGGGGAGCCTGGGGGTACTGTTGCTTCTGGTACTGTTGCTTCTGGTACTGTTGCTTCTGGTACTGTTGCTTCTGGTACTGTTGCTTCTGGTACTGTTGCTTCTGGTACTGTTGCTTCTGGTACTGTTGCTTCTGGTACTGTTGCTTCTGGTACTGTTGCTTCTGGTACTGTTGCTTCTGGTACTGTTGCT